AGCAAGTGTGTCTATGGTAAGAACATGAAAGTCTTTTTTTTCCATAACACATAGAAAAAACTAGCAATGATCTTAAATTGCACTAAGTAACATTACAGATTACATATAATGATAAAGACAGACAAGTCATAGAAAAGGCTTTCCAAGACTGAAGGTCTCCTTCACTTACAGTCTTTAAGAACAGTGTACAGGTGTAACTGGATAAATCAAGTGGGTTCCACAGAGCTCACTACTATTCAGTATTTTTCACTAACAGTTTGCATGATAGAAGGAAATATATGTTTATGAAATACGTGGAGAAAGCTTAAGTTGACTGGTTCTGTGAGTATGCTAAAGTATAGGATGAAAACTCAACATGGTCTTAAAAGACTGAGGAACTGATCTGAAAATAACTTTTATTTAGGAAAAGGCAGCATAATAAAAAATGTACCCAGTATAAACCTAACCTGAAGTCACACCACTTAAAATGAAAATTTTGATATCCTGTCATCAATAACACTGAGTCAAGCTAGCTCCTGGTAACTTTTGCTATTATAAAAGAATCCAGAATAACTATAAAATATAATAGTACAAATGAATATGGTGATTTACAAACAACTACTTTGAATAATGCTCCATGCTCTCAAAAAACAGACAGTAATACTGTTCAGAGCATCCTAAAAATTGTAACACCACTACTTTGCATTTATGGCATGGCAATGCCTAGAGATGCCGGTCAAGTCAGGCCCCCACTGTGCTAGACATTGTACAAATACAGAAAATGACAGCCTTTGCTACAGACAGCTCCTAGTAGAAAACCCCAAGCATTTAAGGCTCAAAGCCCACAGACAGGAAAACCTCAGCCCATTCAGATGTGCCTTCCCTTTACCACTCAAAGCTGAAGAGTAGTACTTTGCTCCGCTGCAATACAAATATCCCGATCCTTAAAACTCAGCCTGACAAGGGGAGGAATAAATGCCAAACAGGCTACTTTCTAACAGATGAGCGGTGGATGTGCTGCCACAAAGCAGGCCAGGGCTCCTTGGGCCCCTGTGGATTCCAGTGTGACACACACGGCGGGGGCTCCTCCATGGCGCACAACCCGAGCGCGCGGGCTGGCGCTCGCCGCGCTACATCTGGACCTGGTTAGACAACCTCCAGCTCTGCTCTCTTGCATCAGCCCCGGCCCCCTCTGGTGAAGCAGCCTCCCAACCACTGCTTCTCCACGAACTACCCACGGAGACAAAGTACCCTGGGAGGAAGTAAATTGGGACCACATTAGCCGGTGACCCTCGCCCTGCAATCGGCCTGGCTTTCCAGTGATAGAGGAAATCCCTCACACAAACTGACAAGCAATATGAAACAGGCAGCTCCATTTATTGGGAAGCCTGGTCAATGCCGAGTGCCTCATTAGGAAATGGTCTCTATATTGAGGCACATTCCTGCAATTCAGAGCCTAGAAACTCTAAATTAAAACAACATTGATGCCATATCCTCTTTCCAAACTGCCTCTCTTCATCCAAACTTTAATGCACATACTTAGAGCAACTAAAGAACCAAAATGTCTTTGGCAGGACTCCGTCCCTCTCTTTTGCAGCAGCGCCCTTGCCCTGGGAGCGACCAGGAACCAGTGTTGGGAAAGGAGAAAGGAGAGTTACAGTGAGGAACACCAGCAGTGTTCTCCAGGATCTGTACAACCTTTCCTTGATGAAATCTATGTGTCTTTGCCAATATTTTGAACTAAATAAAAATCACTTGAAATTATCAGAAGAAGTTTTTGTTTTGTGAGAGTGTTGTATCTTTCTACACTCTAAGAAAGGTCAGTTAACAGCAAGTCAGTCAATAGTAACCAGCACAAGCAACGAAAAGGCATAATCCAAATCCTATCCTACACACTTGGATCCATTCACACTCACTATTGCAGCACGGCCAGAAAATTGCTTTCCTAAAGCACTATCTCTGTCAGAAGCTCTTTCCAGCTCTTTCCAATTTGCAGTGAGATTCAGCAATCAGACCTGTGGTACCACAGCATGCATAACTCTTCCCACAAACCACCCCCTTCCGATATTGCTCAGCATTTCTATTTGCATCCTACGTACGTGGAAATGGGAATCTTTTAGTCAACTGTGTCTGCCCGCCAACTGAAAGAGCTGCTTTCCCACCACAAAGTCTAAGCATTTCCTAGTAATGGGATGGATGGAAACACCAAATACTTATCAAGGAGCTCAACAGCTCTGAACCAGAAATTAGCGAGGTCAGGCTCACAGCTCTGAATCTGAACGGTTGAATAAACCTTTTGGGTTCCAGAACTGCCTTTCAAAGTCTTCCAGAACAGCGTGATTAGTGGCATCACTTGCCTTTCTTGAACAGCTGTGTTCAACATGTGCAAGTCTGAAAGATTTTTTCATTCACAATTTCTACTCTAAATTTAAGAATTGCAGCTGAACTTTTAGGAAGTTCCTGAAATGTGATACGGTAAACACAGACGGACCCTTGTTCTCAAGATGCAGAAAAGGGTCCATGTAGAGAAAGCTTAAACTGATGAAGCAGCATAGTTGCTTTGGTGGAAAATATGAGGCTGGTGACCTGCAAAAACTGAAGAGGACTGCAAGGGCCAAGTACACAGAATATTTGCAAAGCACCTAGAAAAATGAGATTCCCCTTGACTGCATCAGTAATGAGGATACTGTAAAACCTCATCACCTTCTCTTCTGACCCATCTCCTACTTCTGGAACTGTCAAAGTGTGATTTGAATTTATGCAGGAGAGTATATACCAAAACTACTGGAACTGGAAAAAATAAATGGGATTTCAGATTCCCTGCAACTTCCAGAGGTGGCAACTATTACTGTCCTATTAGAAGCAACTTTGAGGAGTTTTTCCTTTGATGTATGGAAAGCTGTACACAAAAAAGGATAAAAGATGACACATCCTTAAATAGGAATTTTAAGGATTCTAGGATAGAATTTAAGAAGGATGTGTCAAACCTCTATTTGGTCACATAAATGTTTCTCAGGTATTTTTAAAATATAGTTTAGATTGTTTACATGTAAACATGTGTCCTGCCTTGGGAATTGTGGATGTATTGGAGAATACCTGTGATTTGATACTGACACTACAAATATAGCTTTTATTTATACTAGTTATAGCACAGATAGCACAGATCTGTTGAGGAGATTACTTTCTCCTTTCTTCCTTTTTTTTTTTTTTTTAAAGATCACAGTCTTGGACAATCTTAAATAATTCCAAGTCTTTACAGCTGATGGTAGTTTTGGAAACAGAAACTTAAAAGGCATTTGGATAGTCCAGTGAATTTTTTGAAAAAGGACAATTGCTTCAACATCAGATCAGAACCGGTCTCACTTCACATCAAGAACAATTTCAAATTAATCTCCTTTGCAATTTTAGTTAATTTGGGAAATTAAGTATCCCACATCTATACAGAAAAGCACTTAGAATGGGTATCCTTATGGAAAATGGCCACATCTTTTTAGGAACAGCTACTGTAAGACTGTCCAGCACTGAAAGATAATTATATGAACCACAACAATGTTTAAAAAATCATTTAACTGAAACCTAAGTCATTACAGATAAGCACAATCTTAATACACTAAATATACACAAATTTTCAGCAGGAAAAACCTCACCACAAAGTACTAAAGACTGTTCCATCTACCCAAAAAGTACAATCAGAAAAAACTGGGAAAGGAAAGGGCATGAAAGCACTTGAATTTAAACTTAGGTCAGCAAGAACTAAGAACAAAATTTTAACTTCTCTTTGAATGAGTGTTAACATATATTAAGGCTGCTACAGCAACAGACAATTACATGAAGAAAACAAGTGCTTTATATTTCTGTGAGCACTTATGAATCCTGTTTTAGTAGAAGATCCCCTGGCTGACCAGCAAAAGTAATTACAACTCCTGCTCAAAAGTAAATAATACAAGACTGTAAGACACACTTCTTACTTGTTCTGAAGCTGGTATAAAAAAATCCCAGAACTATTGTTCTTAAATTAAACTGTAAATAATTGTTATCTTAAACAACATGGCCAATAACCTACTTGTGTTTCCTAAGGAAGAAGCAGAGAAATCTCTTATCACAAATCAGACCTGTTTCTGTCTTACATTCTTTGACAGCAGCAGAAATCATCTGGTTGACAGATGAAATGTTGCACATAAAATTTTATGAAGATGGAAATGGTGGCACTGAAGAAGTTGATACTGGATTGGCAGTAGCATATGTGCTATTACTAGGAATGTGGTAAGGGAATAACTCAGAAAAACCCACCAGAAGTGCTGAAGTGAAAAATCTACACAGATCTTTTCAGTTCCTAAATCTCCTACTGCAAGGGATGCCCGTTGCTTCCTCTGTGTTTTACTGGCAATATACTTTTCACATTGCATTCAATACTGAAATATGGTATTAAATTCTTGAATAGAAATATACTTTTTCTAATTGTTAGGCCAACACAAAAATATCTAGGAAATGAGAGAGGCCAGAAACAGGAAAGGACAAGCACGAGATCTCCAAATGCCTGCTCCAGGAGCTGGCATTCCCATATGGTGCTTCTGTCACAGGTTAGAAATCACACCAGAGACTGTGTGGTTTAACACCTTCATATCTGAGCTCTACAGCAAGGAGAATCTTCTTCCATATATGCTTCTTCCCCAACAAGGTAAATACAAACCACTAAGAGAAGGATCATTAATTTTCCCTGAATCTGTGATTATTTGTGCCTGTAGAGGATAATAACCAATGTCCTCTTCATTCACAGTTTCCTATACATTCTATCCCACGTTTACTACTCAGGGACAGAAAGAAACTTTCCTCACTGTTGAGTCTTCTTCTTTCTCACTGTGTTTCACAGACTTCATAACCTGCAGCTAGTTCGAAATTGTTATTTATGCACTTTCTATCCCAACACACGACAGGATTATACATTATTAGTTCCATAAATCAAGATGATAATCCCATACCAGATTATCAACCAGTTTCGTTGCCAGCCTTCGTCTACCCACCTGCTGCTTGAGCTGTTGCACAAGACGGTCTTTCTCTCGTTTCAGTGCAGCCACTTCATCTTGGGTCTTCTTCTTAGAGGATGAAAGCTCTAGCAGAGCAATATTGGCATCTTTTTCACTAATGGCAGCAAGAAGGGCTTCTTGTCTGAAAAAAACCAACAAAAACCCCAAACAGACGACATTATTATCCTGCAAAATGGAGAGGAAGCCTTTACAAAGTGTTGAACCGTGATGCTGTACCAGTGAGCAACTCTGAAAAGCAGTAGTAAATACACTTGTCACAGTTATATGTCCCTTGGTGGAACAGGAAATCAAGACCCACCCACCCCCTAAATGACTGTACTGATAGCAAACAGTTGCTTATAGGATAAGAAAAACATACAAAAATATGTTCTTATTCTGCACTCAGCTTCTCAGTTTTTAATAACTAACATTTATTATTATTCTGGCTGAACATTTTCATTCTCTGTAATGTTCTAAGCATTTCCAGAGCAGATAATGAGAATACACCCACAAACACTGGACGAATCATGACTTCTGTGTTAAATTACATTAGGTTAGACCGTCTATTCATGCAGCTATTTTAGAAAGGTGTCACGTGACAATTTTACTGAAATCTCTCAAACAATACAGTATATTCCCAGAAGGAAATGGTGACAGAGACATTTTTGTGCTACATAACATATGTTGAAATAGATGCCTTCAAGGATGCTTGAACTATTCTTTGACTTTTCTTGTGAATAACCAATAAATAAGAACATTCTGTAGCAAGATCGTGAGCCCAAAGCACTATAATAACTAACTCTGGAAAACCAACCTTGTCACATTCTTTCAAAAGAGAAAGAAAACTCTTACAAATAGAATTCAAAAATATTTTATAGATACTGGGAAGAAAGGAGACAGAGATAATTACCCTGATCATAAACCAGCAGTTCTTACATGAACTCAGAGGATTGCTCTGTGTTAGGGAAAACAACTATTTATGTCCTTTGACCTTAACTCTCACCCTAGCTAGTGCAGATAAATCAGGATGTACAACAGGACATAAAAGAAAACTTCGGCCTTATTGCCCAATAGGGTAGGGGTGGTTTGTCCCCCCTCTCATCACCTTGCAAAGAAGGAATAAAATGAAGTCCTAACCATTTGAGGTGGTGGTGGTATGACAGATGACATCATGCAGAAGTGATGATGAAAGATAAATTGAATACTACAGATTTCCTTTCACCTAAAGATGTAGTTGAAAATGCAGTTAAATAATAAAAAAAAAATCAAATTCCCAAATAATAAAAAATTTTATATGCTGTAGTTTATAAACAAAAGCATGTTAATATTGATAATCTCAGGGAAAGATTTAAAAAAAAATCGAATGTACTAAAAGAATTTTGCTAATCGTGTCAATAGCAATTATTATATGAATAACACTGCCTTCACACTGAAGTCTTTTATTAAAGATGCAAGGAAAGCATTCTAATAGAATGGTATCAGGAAAGAACTACATGTGCCACCCTGCTGAAAGATCTGAGACAACAGTAGCCTCTGAGGAGCAGCTCAGGGCTACAGCTTAATAACCCAGCCTGGCAGCAACCAGCCCAGCACTTCTGCCCACAGTTATGTGACAAGCACGCTCTCTCCACAGCCCCAGAGCAGCGACCACAGGTCCTGAGGTTGTTGCACTCTGAGAGCTGCATGGGTTAGACAGCACATTTATTAAGCTCCTGTCATCTTCTACAGATGATACTACTACTGCTCCCACTTGAAAGGTGTGAAACTTTGCTAAGACATTCACCCACGAGTGATGATGACTGCTTTCAGATGAGCAAGAGCTGGGATGGAAGAAAAACTTCTGCTCACACATCGCCAGGTTTAGGCCAGAAGAAGGTGACCAGTGTAAGACCTGGCTTTCTTCTTATCCCAGTCTGTGACTGAGCTCTTAGAAATATTTGAGTGAAACCTTAAGACCTCTATCACTGCACAGCAGAAGAAACTAGAGCATAAGAATAAAATTGCTAAGAGGTGATCTCTCCTCCTCTCTTCAGTCACGCCAACCATAGCCTAAGTTTTGCTGCAGCAATCAATACAAACAAGTTTATTATCAGGATCCCCAGTGAAGCCACTGTGTCAAAAACTGAGAAAGAATCATGTATTTCAAGAGGAAAAGGTGTGTTTCAACAGACAAAACTGTTCATCATCTGACAGCAGAATGGGCTCACACAATGGACTTTCTGTAGGTAGAATTTCTCTCTGGGTTTACACAGGTGTTTCTTGTACATGCTAAGAGAGTTAGCTTGCTTTAAATGAATTACCAGCACATTAAAAATCTCACAGATTCAGCTCAGAGAGTACTTGGATCCTGTCTAGATCATATCTGGAAAAACTAGCTCCTTAAATTATTCCTAGCCTTTTGAAACGTAATACCACAAAGTTAAGCAAATTTCTTTAGATACTTGAGGATAAGAGAAAGATATTCTAAATACATTAATGCTATGAAGAAATACAAATATTCTGATGACTTAATGGAGGCAAAGAGTAGAAGAAAGGAAAAGGTGCACATCAGATTCCCAGTTGTAGTGTCAAGATTGTAGGTGTGGGAACGATGGTTAGTGGGTGTGTTATTATTGCCATTTTGTTTCTGTTGCTTTTGCTTTGTGGAAAAGTGTACAGTTTTGGATGTCTGCCTGAAACATGAAAAATACCAATAGAGTGAAGTGACAGAACATGATCCATGACCTCTGCTTTTTTCTAGCTATCGGTATCCTGGGAAAGACAGGCTGGCTTGGAGCTCTGGTCATTTTCACTTGCTTTAGAGTAATCTGTTTTGATTCTAAAGAAACACTTATTCTTTTAATAGTAAACCCACAATCCTTGCTGATGATTCAGGACCAGAGCCAAGAATATCTCAGTAACACTATCTCCACAGCCATTACTCTGGTATGGAAATTGGAGGTGCTCAAATAGCACATAAGGCATATACCTTCTGCAACCAAATCCTTTGTTGCCCATCTTTACTTCTTAAGTGAAAACCTCAAGGCCAGGAAAATGAGATAGGGATAACAGTCCACAACTCTTTTTGGTGCTGAAAAATTTTTGCCACCCTGCCTTAGAAAAGTGAGGCAGGGGTGCTGGTCAAGAAGTGGGGTGAGAGGTGCAAGGCTTTCTGATTGTTTTCTAGAACCGAAACAAGATGAGGTTTGAACAAAAGAAAGAAAAATGTGATGTGATAAAGGCATTTTAGCTCCATTTTTGAATTCTGCAAGCTCAAGGTATACTGTTTCATATGGGAGAAGTGCAAGTGTCGCTGTCAGCTCTGTCTGTAATGGTGTGCTATTGTTCTCAACAGAGGTTGGAGCTGCCAAAACAATTCTAAAAGACCACAAAAAGCAAATATCACCAAGCAAAAGACAAGGTTTGTGACTGAAGAGCACTACAAAAGTGACTTGTTTCTTTTCTTGAGAGCTGTTATCCCCAGGGAGACCAGAAGAACATGCTGTAAGACAGATGAGGTGGCAAGAAGGAGAAAATGGGCTGCTGTGTGAATGGTGCTCGTAGCATGTGAACAAACCTATCTGTCAGCAGTGCTGCAGGCAGTCCTAGAGGCTCAGTCGGTGGTACAGGCTGAACTTCTTCAGTTCAGAGCACTGGGGGGAGTCCTGAAATGTTCTAATAGGCAGGTAAAACACGTACTTGCTGCACAACCCAAGGTGGTTGATCTTCTAAAATGCTGGCTAATGCCAGAGTCACTAAACAGACACAGCTCACTGAAGTTAGTTCAGGCATTTCAGGTGCTGGTAGTAGTTTAGCTGTGGCAACATCAACTGAGCAGGGGAAAACTGCCTGTTTCTCTCTCCATTTGGGCAGGTTCTGGAGGCCGAACCGAGCTGTGTAGCAGCTCACAAGAGGTAAGCAGGCTTTAAAACAGACTGAATATTACCAAAGGAAACCCAAAATGGAAACAGTGTAGAAAAATCTATTGAAAACAGGTTCAAGATTAACTCCAAATTGCACAAAAAGAGGAGGATTTATTTTTTTTCTTCTATCTAAGCTGAAGCCTTTCAGTGAATGTGGATCATGATCAATACAGACTGGAGCTGTATTAAGACCAGCAGGTTAAATTCTTAAGAGACAGTGGTAGGTATAATTTGAAGATGATTATCAACATATTTGTTCTGCTTGCAATCTTACAAAAATAATGCAAAGAAAGATGGGTTTGTCTTTTTTAAATAGGAGGCTACAGAATAGTTAGATGTTAGTAGAGCTGCCTCTGGAGTACTTTGATCTCGTGCTTACAGAGGCCCTAGAAAAAAAGACATGCACAGATGAGATTTCTTGTATGGCTTGGGTGAGGATAAATAAGTGATTTGGTAGTTTGAGTGACCAAGTATTTGAATGAACTCAGAAAATAAGAAACTACAGCTCATACAGATTCAGTTACCAACTCCTACTAGCACCAAAAGACCCCAGTGTGCAGTGTGGTCAAAACCATAACACATCTCCTGGGAGTACTGCACACAGCCAGTCTTGTTTCATTCCTCTTTTTCCTCTTTGGTGAACCACCACATATTTCTGCAAATGGGGACACGAGACTTTCTAACTTCTCAGTAACCCTCAGCACTGCAAGACTAATGTGCTGGATTCCTGCATAATAAGCTCTAGCAGGGTAAGTCCAATAAGTAGTAATAAAAAAGGTTCATCCACAACACTAAAAATGTTTTAACTACCAGGGTAGCCAAGTTTGTCCTCTGGCTTACAAATACTAATAGAATCAAGATGTTTTCAAATGGGTTTCTACAGCACTTGGTTTCAAGAGACTACATAATTCCTTCACAGCTCCTTCCTAATGAAGGAGAGGAATCTGTTTGGTAAAACACAACAGAAAGCAATTTTTCACTTTGCAGTACTGTTCTCAGGGTCATAACACTGGAATATTTATCAGTTGTATAATTAGAAAGAATAACAGGGCTGCAAACAGTGCTGAATTAATGATGCCTCAAAACATCAAAACTATACATATGCATTAAAAGAATATGTTTACATATGCCAGAGAGAACACACGTTCCATGTAGAAATGTTATAAACACATTGTTCTATAACATTTTATTTTAAATTATGAGATTTCTTCAAATGTGGAGTATTTCTGAAAGCATGTAT